GTACATCTGGCAGTGACAAACACCAAGGTGTGAGGTGAGAGTGATGCTGGTTGTGATGGTTAAGTTTGTGTGTAGTCATCTTCCATTTTGTGATCTGACTGTCACGCTCCAGTTTTACATAATGCCAATTTTTGTATAATGCCCTGGGTCATGGGAATCTAACTAGGTTAAATGAGGAGTAGGTATACATGTCTTCAAAAATAATTTGATATAGAAAAAAAACACAGGCCCTAAAAGTTACTCTCTTCAGTTTCCCTGAGGATTAAAGTAAGAATCAAAAAGAGTTGTATGTGAATTACAGATGTGCTATAAGAGCTCAAAACCATTTAAGTTAGCTTTCTAAAACCTGTTTCTGTGAGAAAATAAATTCTACTAATTTGTGAGTATAATAACTCACAAATATAAATTGTTAATTTGGATATCCTCCATAATTTCAACCTATCAGCATTTAAACAAAGTGAATTGTGATATATACATGTTTCTGTGGGAAAGTAAGCTCAGGCCATCCAAGGTAGCTGTGAGGCTCCAGGCCCTGAGGGGAGGAGCAGGGATAAGGGTTCTAAAGGAAAAAAGGAGGAAAAGCCAGACTACCTTCTGATCAAGGATTAGCCCCTTTTCCTTTCTGCCACTACCGGGCACTGATTACTCTGGCACAGTTTTGCTTCTTTCCTGGCCCTGGCTTTCCATCTCTGAAGAAATTACACAGATCCCAACAAGAATTGTTAGGATACAGCTGATACTCTCCATCACCCTCATGCCCAAGCACATGCAATACTGGAAGACAGGGGATGCGGCTTTAAAAGTCCTTCCCTAGGTAGTCTCCCTCTCCTATCACTATCCTCAAATTTCTTTTCTATGAAAATAAATTTTTGTTGCTGTTGTTGTTAAGTGCCATTGGGTTGGTTCAACTCTCAGCTGCCCTGTATAGCGTTTCCAAAGAGTGGTTGGTGAGCTTGGGCTGCCAACGTTGCGGTTCAAGCTGACCTTGCAGTCCAGCGCATTAACCCACAGTACCACACCAGGACTCTTAATATATATCCCATAATCGCTCTTGATGATCCAATAAAATCCATTTCTATTTCAGAACTATATGGGATAAATGAATCTCTTGAAGAGCTCATCAAGGGAACAGGACTAAGTACCTAAGAATGAGTAGCTCAACTAGGCGGGGAAAGATTTGTAAGATTTATAAGAGCACTGAGGGAGTATGGACACCATGTCAACCCTGTGCTGCTCCAGCTGCCGCAGTCTCCGTCATTCCACAGCCAGTCAAGTCAGATGTTGGGGCCCAGCAGCTGGATGCATTCAGTTGGCCAACTGCTCCTTAATGCTCACCAACAAGTTAACGGGCTACACTGCTTTTCCCATGCACTCAGCAAGCAGACACCTCCTGAGGGATAGTCGGCGCTTGCTTGGCTTTTTCAGAATCTTCAAAGATGACTAACCATACCCTCAGCATTTCCCTCCTTTTCTGTTTTCTAATTACTTGTTGCAGAGAAAAGCCTGTTTTATTCATTTTTGTGCATGACTCAGTACTTATTATTGGAAGAGGAATAAAAAGTAAGGGTTCAGGTTTTTTTGTGTGTTGTTGGTTGGATGATTTTTTAAGACTCTGATAAACAAAGGTGATGTCAGTAAACAGTCCTCTATTGCTAACCTATTTAAACATTTTGCTTCTGGAAGACAGAAGCACTCACCAAAGGGTCCTGCAATCCTGAGGCCGGCTAAAGGGTTGAAAGGAGTCAGTGCAGCTCCCAAGGCTCGGATCCAAACTGGAATTGGTCTGTCTTGATCTGCAAGGTCAGGTCTCTCAGGAAAACCCCAAGGCTCCACTAAAATGAGATGGCTAACCCTGTTGGGAAAGAATATATTTATGTCCATTTAGTAAATTCACCCTAAGACTATAGGGAACTTACATTTAAAATGGAAAGCAGAAGTAAACAACTTTAAAAACTTTCACGTTACAGAGAGGACTATTGGCTGAACAGCTTATATCATGTTCTTATTATGCGTAAACTGAGAATTTGGTAGGATTTGAGAGAGGTATGGTAGAAAGAGGCTTTATTTTTTCAATCTGAATCTAGATAATAAAGAGATGTTTGTTGTGTTTATGCGACACTCAGGTTGTTGTTGTTGTTGTTATGTGCCGTGGAGTCGGAACCGACTCATAGCGACCCTGTACAGGGTTTCCGAGGGTGTAAATCTTTACGGGAGTAGAAAGCCTCATCTTTCTCCCGCGGAGCAGATGATACCAATCAGTGACCATTCAAAAAAATCCCCAAGCTCCCTGTATCTTGAGGCTGATTCTGCAGAAATGAGTACAGGTTAACATCAAACTCATAAACAGTCTCAGACAACAACAGGTATCTCCTATGAATCAATCTTTTTTTTTAAAGTTTTTATTGTGAACTGAGTGATAGTTTACATGGGAGAACATCAGTTTTACACCATTTCATCGCAATGATTATAATCTCCTCTGTGCATCCTCATTCAATAGTATTTGCTTCTTGCTTCTATGTCCTGTGTTTTTTGTTTTTTGTTTTTTTTGGTGTGTGTGTGCGTATGGTGGGGGAATCAATCATTCTTAAAATTTAAAGGAAGTCAAGGGTTCAGATGGGTTCAAAAGGACTCTGAACTTTTCACAAGCATGAGGTAAATGTAACAAGGGCTGAAAATATATGATTATACTCCCTAGTTCTGGGCTTCTATAATTTGGTGAACAGAAACCATCTCCCCACCTACAAAACCATGATATACTAGCAAAACTGAAAACTAAGAGATTAAAAAAAGAGGTATTCTGACTTACATCAGAACCAACTTATAGGGTGGCTGGTGCAACAGAACCTCATTATAAGCTGGGGACTCCCCGTGTCTACATCTAAATGGAAGAGACAACCTCTTACGTAGTGATTCATTTTTAAACTCCCTTTACTACAGTTACAGTTAAGGGGTCTGGACAAGGATGTGAGTAGAATTAATAAGCTAGCCACCTAGGAGAAAGCAGCAGAGATGTATGTTAGGAAAGAGCCAGTACTACTCACTAGTGAGCTACCTCCTAAAGAGAAAAATGAACTTTTGATTAAAATACATCTTACCTTAATAGACTGTCACATTTCTGTTAGAAATTTGTAAAGGATCTATCTTGCTCAGTCCACTCCAGGATCTTACTGACCTGCTACCCAATGCAGGGATAGGCAAAGGAACCCTGAAGGGAGGAGTCTAATCTATTCCTAGTTAAGTGATTATTTTGTTTTTGCCTCTGTTTTTCCTTGCTTTGTTTAATATGGGTCCTCAAAATATTCTCACTAGGTAAAAATGCCAGTTTAAGAAATTGCACGAAGTATACACACAAGGATAAATGTATCCTCAACTGTTCAACCCTTGGTCTTCAGCACACAACATACAGATTAATACATGGCAGATGCTCAGTAAACATTTGGGACATTATGCTTTCTCATGTTTCCCATTGCATATAAAAACATACAAATTTTATACAGTATAGTCAAAAAGTAAGTATAGGAATTAGTCCAGTCTGGATTTTTCTAGTCCCACAGATGGTATCAGAATGTACTCATATTGCTTATATTAATCCTAAAAGTGGGTAGTGAGTAATAAAATCTACTTCGGGAGTTAGTACCAGTTTGTTTGATTTAAGAAAATAACATGGTTTGTAATAGAAAAGTATGTCATACAACAAACTTAAATACCATTCACAAAGCTCCTGCTTCAGATACCCACATACTTATGTTGTTGCTGTTATTAAGTGCTGACGAGTCAATTCTGTCTCAAAGCAACCCTGTATAAGGTTTCCAAGAAGTAGCCAGTGGGTCTGAACCAATGACCTTGCTGTTAGCTGTTCAGTGCTTATCCTACAGTACCACACCAGGATTCCAAATATACTTATATACTCATATATAATTCTTATTGAGGGTTGTTGTTGTTGTCGTTAAGTGCTGTAGAGTCAGTTCTGACTCATAGTGACCCAGTATAGAGTTCTGGAGGAGCAACTGGTGAGTTTGAATTGCTGACCTTGTGGTTCAATCTGACTTTGTGGTCCTGCGCTTATCCTACAGTGCCACACCAGGGGAAAAAAATGAATATAATTTTTAATGCTCAAGAACAAACTAAACTTTAGCTGCATAGCATCTTCTTCTACTACATCTAAAAGACCTCAGAAAATAATTATTACTTCTTTTTGGTTGTGAGGATTTTAAATAAGATTCATCATACAAGGTTGATGATTACCAAAAAGTATCCAGTAAATGTTGTTATTGTTGTTGTCAAGTGTCATAGAGTCAGTTCTGACTCAGAGTGACCCTGTATAGGGTTTCTGAGGCTTCAAGTCTTCTCAGAAGCAGAAAGCCTCATTTTCCCCCATGAAGCAGCTGGTAGGCTCAAACTGCTGCCCTTGTGGTTCACAGTCCTGTGCTTATCCTATGGAGCCACCTCATTCTCAACTAGCTATATGAAGGGCTTTAATTTAAAAGCTCGTGGAAATTTTCCTTTATCTTTTAATTCCAGTTTTTTCCCATAAACTTTTGGAAGTTCCCTTATAGCAGTAATAATGAAAGGCTGACTAGAGCAGACATGATTCCAGGGTATGGGAAGATAGTGACCATAACCATGTGAACAGTGAGTAGTAATTTAACTTTTATTCTTCAAGGAATTTGATTCCAAGTTTGGCCTCACAGATTATATCCTTGAAATGAAGCTCCTAGACAAAAAGACCATCTCCTCACCTGACAGAATTTATGTGGTTTTAATGTATATCTAAAGTATTATAATAATCCAGACCCTACACTCTAATATGCCACAGACACACCTGATGGGATTGTTAGTTCACACTGAGGGTAAGGGATAAGTAGGTGTAAGTCCAATCAGACAGCATATGTGACTCTTCATTCAGACATCTACAGGATAAACAAAGAACCTGCAGAGCAGGAACAAGAGAAGAGCCCATCAGATTCAATACAGAGAGGCTTTCTGATTTATCTTCGTCATTGGAGTAGGTATTGAGGTTAAAGATGGAAAGCAGATTACAGCCTAAAGGGCAGAGTGGCAAACTCCACTGTCTCCAACACATCAGGCCAGCTGCGTCTCAGTGGTAACTAGGGTGTGTATAAACCTGACCTGTAGGAGCTTTACAGTTAGTCACCTGGTAGAAATTACATAAGAATAATCAGACCTGAACCCTAAAGTCCTTCCCATGAAGGAGTCTACAGATCGTACTCATGGAACAAAGAAAGGAACAAGGAAAAAAACATTCTTTCCTGAGGTCAAAGACCAGAAGGACTCTAGTCAGTGCACGAAGAAGCCATTCCAAGATAAAGTTGGCCCCTGGTATTTCCCACTGATTTCAGGCCACTGGGGGGAGAAGAGAACAACTTCAGGTGGAGTAGAAAAGCCTTCCTCTCAAGAGAGTGCGGTAAAAATTGCTCAACGTAGGTCTGTAGAGTCAGGAGACAGAGCCAGGTGGGGCCAAAGGGAAAAGATAAGATGGTCTGAAACCTTTTACTGGAGAAGTGAATGAAGGTCAGTTGTAACATATTCTATTGTAAATTAAAATGAATGGATCTTTTTAAAAAATATTTTCTAAGTTAATAATTTTGTAAATTTCTATAGTTTCCTCTTCCTTAGTTTATTTAAAGCACATAAAATAGATATAATGTTAGTATGCAGTTCTAAGCAAGATAGATAAAAGAAAAGGGATGGCATCTTTGCTTAATCACCAGCTACTCTACTCTACCCTCTGCACCCCCACCTATTGGTGATCACACATTGCTCAATAAAGGATTTACAGAATGACACCAGCCCCCATCACCTCATTTAGAAAGTACTACGTTTTTAAGCAAATAATGTGCACATTATGTGCCTATTGAAAACTGTGTATCCCCATTCGTTTCTGGTGTGGCGCTGTGGGTTAATGCGCAGACTGCAAAGCCGTTTGAACTGCAAGGTTAGCGGTTCAAGCTTACCAGCTGCTACTTGGAAACCCTATACAGGGTCGCTATGGGTCAGGATCGACTCAACGGCACATAACAACAACAACACATACCTTAAACATGTGTGCATTTGTGTCGGTGTATTATATGAGGAAAAATACAGTCGGTCTTAGCTTGTGACCCAGTATGTAGTACTTGCTATGTGAGGTGTATGGGGCTTTATCATTCTGTAAATTACAAATGCCATCTTTAATTATTACACTACTTCATGGTAAGAGAACACAGATGAACTAAAGTAATATATTTTTGGAAGAAGCACTGAGGGATTGTGTCCCCATTTGGATTCACCTTTCAATCACACATAATCCTCTCCATCCATCTGCCCCATTGGCCTTTCTAAAATGGTCCAGGCATTCTCCTGACTACTTAGGTGGTTTCTGAATTCCTCTCTCTCCTCCCAGAAGACTGTAAGCCTTATAAGCTGTTCCCAATTGCTCACCACCATGTCCAGCCTGTAGTATCATATCCAGTACATATCTGATGGATGAACAAATGAAGGACTTGTCAAAGCATAAGGGCAGGGTATGTTGTTGTTGCTGTTTAAGTGCTGTCGAGTCAGTTTCAACTCATAGTGACCCTGGAAAGGCTTCTGAGGAGTGGCTGGTGAGTCTGAACCACTGACCTTGTGGTCCAGAGCTTTTGTCCTACAATGTCACACCAAGACTCTAGGGTGTGTTTAACACCATTTAATTTTAGAAGATGGCTCTGACTTCAAACAACTGCAGAGACTGGTTATGTTACTGCAGCCCAGGAGTCTCACCAGACATTTTATCTTTTCAAGAAAAAGGAAAGCAAAATGGCCCCAAATATCATCATTTGTTGTTGTTGTTGGGTAGTGTTACATAGATTC